AATACTCTCTCTCTCTCTCTCTCTCTCTCTCTCTCTCTCTCTCTCTCTCTCTCTCTCTCTCTTATTTTAAATATTAATAAACGTGAAGTAAAGAATAATTGCAATAATTGTGAATAATTGCATCGTTGTTGTAATTGATGCCGGTCCATTCAGCTGGACAACACATCACATGTAGTTACATATATATGGAAAAACCGCGTGCGCTTTTTAGAACCGCTTTTTAAAACATATGCAAATGGAGCATCGAAAAAAAAAGTTTTACACACTCGGAACGATAACCATCAGCGACCTGAAATTACTCGATATGTAATCGATTGAAATATTTACGCGGGCAGAACATCTGCGTGACGTACACGATGGAGTGAGGCAGCAGCCGACACTTATTATGACGGATAGAGTCAACATTTGTAAAAAGTTTACATTCGATTACGGAGCACGCACATGTGCATACGCCATACATTTATATACATAAAACAATGTTACGAAAGTAGAATATAGAGAAGTATATAGACGAATATAGAATATACGTCTCCGCGTGATGGAGCATCGTTCTTGAAGATGCCAATAATTGTTAGCAACTCGAACGGCCGAGTGACGGATTAGCGCTTTTATTCGTCACGAACGTGACTCGAACTCGAGAAGCAGCGTGTTATCGTATTGTATAAAGAAACGTCGCCACAATCGATAGTGATAAAGTTCGCCTTTGTAGAGTCGCTAAAGAAATTGTGGTCATTTGTTTTTTCCTGCATATACAATCTCTGGTCGTATGTTTCTGTACGTGAACGAAATAATTTTATGTTTGTTTATACGGTCAATTATTCTTGTATTATATAACATTCTTATCAATATAAAAATGTATACTATTTATTATGTATACTATTTATTATTATTTGTATTTGTATTATTTATATTAATTGGGAAATATTGCTTCGATAGATAAGTTGTTTGTGCTTGGAAGTTTGTCTGATGTTTACCGTTTTTCTACATATCTTAAATTAATAATTAAATCTTTCATTTCTGTCTGCTCTTTCGTTTTGAATAAAAATATGAACTTATATATCCATCATTAAAAATTACCATTTATTATATATAAATAAAATTTTCTTGTGTCATCTTATGCCATTATAGACTCTGAACACCACCATATACGTGATTTTCTCAGTCGTCATCCATCTTGTTTGACGTAGTAATCCAAAAATATTCGACGTCCGATCAGATCCAAGGACGGTGCGCGACGCGGCGCAACATTGTTGCAACGAATACCATTTCCGAATTCCGGGCGCGATTTTATACGACAAGCAAATGAACGCGAGTCGAGCGAGCGAGCGAGCGACAGCGGGCAGGTAAGCGAGCAGGTAAGCGGATTTGCAGAACTACATCGTACAAACCCGAGCTACAAAGAAGCTTTGCAAAAATCACAGACGGGAGCGACTCACAAGCCGGTTGCGAGAGCAGTACCCTCGGTCAGGGTCGGCGAGTGTAAACGAGCACGAAGGTAGATCAACATCGGTGTCGGCTCATGTGTCGCCAATTCTAAAAGCCGGCGATAACGTGGTGTTAGCGCGTCACGCTATCCCGTCGTCGTCGTCGTCGTCGTCGTCGTCGTCGTCGTCGACGGAAAACCGCGACTATCAGAGCGTATAGGAACACGCCGATGATAATGCGAGCGGGGTGATATCAGTTTCGCGGTGCGTCCCAAACTCGGCGATTCTAAACTCGAGCGGCGAAAAATCGTAACGAAAATAACCGTAACACAATGATGTGATAAGCCGATATTCAAATCGGAGCCACATTGGAGTCTAAGCGCGTCGACTGCGCAAGTAAATCGACTGGGCAAATGGAATTTAAACGGATGCATATATCGCATCGCCCTCCACAGAATCGACGGGCTCGAAATCCTCTCAAGCCGGTTCCGAATGACTCGTTTGCTCGCTCGCTCGTTCGCTCGCCAAGCGAGGTGAACTTGAAGTCGCATGAGCGTGTCAACGGGATAATGCAGCGATTAATGTTTATTAAGGAAGGAAAGATATATCAGGTTCTTACGTAAAAAGCAGATAAATTATTTTTTTTTTATATATATATATATAATGACAAAGCATTACGTGCATTACAGTACATTGCTTCTTGCCAGTGTCTTTTCTGACAAATTCATAGTTAAAGGTGAACACTTTATTAAATCATCATGATTAATTTAAAATATTAATGCGACTTGCCCTGTTTATTCATCATTCCTTTCGTTATATGGAATAATGCGATAAATTTATTACATAAGCGCAAACATTTGGCACAAATGAATCATTTAGAGCCTGCTTTTTTTATAATGGCTCCCTGTTCGGCTCGAATCTCATGCCGAGGTAGGCGAATTCTTCAACGCGCGATTTCACAGCTGTAATGCGAGTAGCTGCAATTTCTATTGCAAGATAACGCCGCACGAAGCAACGTTGCGCTATTTCTCGCTCGTTTTTTCGAGCAGACCGAGCGGCTTTTTTCTATGTATTTGTTTGCCGAATATTTAATAATTTTTAAAACAAGAAATATTATAAATATCTTATATTTTATTCATATTATATTGTCGTTAAGTAATAAGAAATTAACCGTAATGTTATTAAACATCGAGTTGAATTATTTGTAATCTAAACTACTTTCTTCGCATGTTTTTAACTTTAGAAATAGCCTTTGAGATTTTTTTCACTTTGTCAAAATTTTTTTACAACATCAATGAGTTCTTTAACATAAGTGATATTAATTATCCTCGACTCAACTTCTTCGTTGTAAATAAAAAAGATGAAAGAATGCAATTGCAGATACGTAAGTTTGGAAAATAACTTAAAATCCTATTTGCTCATTCCCGTCATTAGACTATTAATTCTAATTACATTGTAGAAATGTCATTGACGAAGATTAAGCGTTGAATGATGTTAAAGCGATTTCGATTTAGGCGATAATCGAACGCAGTCGTTATCGATGTGCCATCGTTATAAATTTCCGTTCGCATGCTACGCGATGCTAATCAATAGCACGGCACGCATCATCGACGAATGCGCGCCGAATGTCAACCTGCGGGATCGAAACACACACACACACCGTCGGCGTTCCTCGGGTGAATCAATTTCGTGCTATTATTACGATCGGGCTGACGAGATGTAACAGCGAAAGAAGGGAGATGACTCACTTGCCGGGTCTGTACGTGTGTGACATACATATGCATATGACGAGCATATACGCGCGCACGTGCGCGTCTCGATTCCGCGCTCAAAGAGAGGAAGGCGTGAGCCGTCGTGCCGCTGCAACGATCACTGGCTGCAATCGCCGCTTCTCTCCTTCATTACTCATCGCCTAAGTGAATGATGCAAATCATGTTCCGGGCAAACAGCCGCGTTTATATGCACGCGCGAGAGATTTGTGCGCGTTTACGTTAAACGCGTATGCGTTTCTCCTTTTCCTCGCGTTGGCGTACAAGTGGTTCCCAATCCGCCTTCGACGCGCGAACTCTTCCTCCTCATATAAAACATGTGCATGACAATGAGAAATAAATTCAGTACTAAAAGTAAGATTAGTTAGCCGAAGAACAAATCTCAAAGAATAACTCAAGGAATAACTCTCGATGATTTCACTAAAAAGTTTTAATTCTATTCTCATCTCGAAAATGGAAATTCATATTTCGAAACAAAATTATTTTTGTCCGCGTGAACAATTTATTATTTATCACTGATAACAAATAATTATAATATTATCAAAAATAATTATTATTTGTCCCAATTATTTAATCAATTATTACTATAAAATAAATTATATAAACACGTACGTCGTTATATAATATTTCCACTGAGAAACGCTCGATATTTTTGCGTATCGCAAGTTGAGAATCGCTGATGTAAGAGATTTGCATAACACGCACCGTAACTGTCTCTCTGGATCAGCTGACGCGTATAATCGTTTCGATGAAGTACGTCTTTTCCTTTCCACTCGTTACACGCGACGCGTTTGTAATTAAACGCGATTGCAGCCAATATTTGAGAAACGACAGTCGACAGTGTATTATACATGAAGTGTGTCGGGGCACTACCGCGTTATTTATCTTTTATTTTTCATTCTGCGATTGGCCTTGGGCACATTTCTTAGTTGCACGTTGTATACAGGAGAGCTAAAAAATGCGTATCGTGTAAAAAAAAAATATAAAAATTGTACAAAATTGACTTTGTTACTATTCTATATCTCAAATAATTTTCATTATTGATCATCATCTTTTCAAAATGACGTTACGTATATATTAAATTTTTCATCTGACAATAAAAAAAGTATGCGAGTCATCGTCATTTCGAGTGACATTTTCTACGTCTCAAAATTGTTTATAAACCGAATCCATTAATGTCGATAAGCCAAACAAACTAAAGATTTCGATATTAATGTCTTACCATTAATACGATTGAGTGCCGTGGAGATATCCAGACCCATTCTTCAAATAAGTGGAAAAACAATCACGTTTCTAATTTCACAAATTTGATCACATCAACAATTTGATAAATCGTTCTCAAGGATTTGCACGTATCTTCCATTGTTATCATTATAGCAACCCTGAACATATCAAAGCACATATATGACTGCCAGATATCTCGCTTTCAGGCAACAAACATCTTGATTACATAGTTAATCTTGACTAAAAAATTGTACTTCCATTAACGAGCTCGACAAAGGAAGCATGACCTTTTTAATCTAAATAAAATAATTTTATTTTTCTTTTTCCAATATACTTAAATTTCTTCATTTATCGCGATGATTTTTTTTCTCTATAGCTCGGAATGACTCAAACTGTTCTGTAGCGTTCTCCTTCGCAATTAAAAAATTCGATCACCATCGCCACGCGCGAATGTGTAGCGCGCATATGAGAACGCGTAGTTTAATGTCGGCCGTTCGCGCGATATTACTCTAAAGTTGTCGATTCACGTACCATGAATATTTACAAACGGTAATACACATTCGTAGCGCGAACTTTGTTTTTCTCAGCGTTGATTCGTTTAATCGAACTGTTCGAAGGGAACGCGATCACGAAGGCGAAGAAAGTGAACGTTTCATGCTATTTTTTTCGGGAGCACGCTCGGAAGCAGAATGTGAAAACTCTTTTGCGAATGGCGTAAATGACATGCGAAATCATTGCGCTCTCGCCCGCTCTTTCGTCATCGTGCCGAAAAGATCTCGGCACTCGCCTGTTGGGTATGGGAGAGGTGTGCAAATGCGGCCCGTGTGATCCGATTCGCGCGGCTATTGCGATTAGTCATAGCTAATGTACAAGGAGTTCCAAAGATACCGTATTTTTTTCCTCAAAACTCGAAACGTCAATCCACTCGGCGTCGAAATGTAAATGGTCTTTGAGATGCAAACGGTCGAAAATCGAAGGATGCTGAAACTCGACGGTTCTTTTTTTTTATACGGAAATGGGACAGAATTGCACGTGTTGGAAGGTGGAGCGCGCGATTCTAGAATCATATCCACAATTTCCTTTGTTACATAAAAGACATGTCAATCTTATTTTCGATACGCTCTATTGCTCGTTCGCGCAAGTATTCCAAGAAAAACACGCCGGTTGAAGGCCGTAAAATTTATTGCATCCACAGAGTCACCGTGGCACCGCGGTCACGTGGTAAAACTGCGCACCGATCCGGGTTATGGAGACGCGCGGAACGTTTGGAGGCGTGTAAAATTGCGATAAATCACGTAGCGAGAATCCTACTTGATGCAGCGCCGCTTCTGTCATCCGCCGTATTTCGCCGTATTTATCCGTCACGATCGTCACACGCTTTTGTGGATGCGAACGAGCGCCCTGATCCGAAATTCCGAACACGAATCGTGTATCCGATATATTCGCGTGCGCTGTCTGCGCGAACTTTACAAAGAACTGCGTATGCTATGCGCCGATTGGAAATTCCATGATTTCTGCTTCGTGTTTGACCCGTGATCTTGATTTGCGCGTGACGCGTAACCCTTTTCCACGTGCGGGAAATCGCGAGATGCGCGACACCTTTGAGAACGCTCGAACGAACGAAGCCGCGCTTCGTCGCGAAACAAAGAACACTCGGATCAGAAAATGCGACCGATTCATCCATCGTGCTGAGTCATCGCCAAGCAATTAGATCATAAATTGAAATAAATCAGAAATAAAGATATTTTATCGTTCTCTGTTCCAGATTCGTGATTCGGAGATGTACCGATATGCGTGGCATGAGCCGGGACGCGCGAGACGAGTCACGTCATCATCGATCGCACCAATCTCATTCGAAATTGTTGTGTCGTTTCTTATTGTCGAGGATGTCGAGGATGTGCATGCGTGTGTCCGTGCGCGCACGCGCGCTTCGGCGACCACGAGGTGAACACCGGCGGCGATGATAATCGGACCACCGCGCGTTCGTCGCGAGAACGATATTGCGCGCGTGTCACGAAACTTCGGATGACGGCACGTTACTGGAAACTGGGCCCCCTATCGCTCCCGCACGCGGCGACGATACGCTTCTCTTCTGCCTCTTTTCTTTGCGCGCCGGGACACCTAGGTATCTCACGCGTATCTCACGTTGCGTGGCTGTGCGTATCACCCGCACCACGCTTACGTGTATGCATCCTCACGGAGAGCGACGGCGCAAACCCGATAACGCGAGAATATAATTGTAAGCTCATCCATACCGCGCGATAATGCGCGCTCTCGCGCATGATTATCCGCGAGATTTTCTTTTTTTTTTTCATTATGCACTGCGAAGGACGCGCTTTCGCGGCGATTATCGAGGAAACTTCAAACGATAACGACTGGTCAAACGATATATTGTCAATTTATTGATAATTTATCGATGATAAATAAATATATAAAACTGATTTAGAGTAGGGGAGGTCAGGAAATGCACTGAACAATTTAAGCGAATATGGACGAGATAAGTTGAAATATGAAAATTTTATTGTTTAATGGAATAAATATTAGTTGTTTAGGAATAATAAAGTTTATGAGTTTCACTGACACGAGGGCATTGCCACAGGAAGGAAAAATGATGAAGCGCCTCTTACAAGTTTGACTGCCATTGTATGGAAATGTAAGAAATCGGTGTCGCAATAATTGCATCATTATCAAACACATTTACAACTTTAGCATACGCCAATGTAACATAAAGAAAAAATTTTTTGTTTCAATAGCGTATTTTAATGAATTTTTTTCATCAATTATAATTTACGATGGATTACTTTTTACGAGTAAAAACATGAATTAATATTACAACATCT